TTCGCTCTACACTGACCTTTAGATTATTTTCGATTCCTCGACGTAATACTCGACCCCTGTGAACATACTTAAAGACAGACCTAAAATCATCATCCATCAAGATAACATTAGAGGCTTCGCTTGCAACCTGACTTCCATGTATACCCAAAGAAATCCCAATTGACGCCGCTTTGAGCGCAGGTCCGTCTTGGTAGTGGCCTGTCACTGCAGCTACGTTCTCCCCAAGTTTCTTCAATATCTGCACTAGTATTCGTTTGTCCCCGCTAGTGCATGCCGCAAGAACCTGCAACCGGGGAGCAACCTGCCGCTGCTCAGCTGTTGCCAATTGTCGAAATTGTTTTCCAGTCATAAAAACACCGTCCGGCTTCAGGACACCGGACTGCTCAGCAACTGCTTTGGCGGTTAAGAGATTATTCCCAGTCATCATCCGAACAACCACTCCTCCAGCCTGCAAAGACCTGACTGTATCTGTGACCGAGTGGCGCAATGGATCCTGGATTCCAAAAGTTCCAATATACACTAGATCACCAATGTCATCCAGAGAACCTGGGACTCCTCGGCTAGATCTAGGTTTGAACTCGGCCACGGTCTTGTAGCCAAGCCCAACGGTTCGCAACCCTTCTGATGAAAAAGTATCGCTCTGCATTCGAAGTAGATCTGATATCGAACTTGTCACCGGGTTTGTGGAAATGCCTTGATTCATATTGCCTGTCCAAACCTGGGTTGATTTTTCAATAATGGTTTCTGTACTGCCTTTGGCATAGATTCGGACTTCCGACTTGTTCAGATTTATGGCAATCGCACTATAACCGAGATTGGAGTCGAAAGGTATGAAATCAACGACGTCAACACTTGCCCGTTCGTAGCTACACCGATCCATTGCCAGGTGATCTCGAGCGAACTGGAGGAGAGCGGTTTCGGTCTTGGAGCCAATGAAAGAATGAACACCATCAACCTCCCCATCGAAAGCGGTTGAGTTCAGCACAATTAAATCCTTCAGGAGACGCTTTGAGTCCGAGTGAAGGTCGGTGATGAGGTCGAGCGTGTGGCGAATGCCATTGTCTTCGCTGGCAAGCCCTCCAGGTCTGCAATCAAACATCAGTGATTCTCCCAGTGCTCCTGCAACCACCGTCATTTTGTTTTGAGTCAGCACTCCCGTCATGGAAGTACAAATTGTCGTTGTACTTGCAATAGTTTCGCATGATTTGGGCGTGAGGACCAAGTTGTTGTCTCGTAGCAATGCGCGTGACGTATATGCTAGTGCGAAGGAGGCTGAATAAAGCAGACTGCTTGAACAGCAGACAATCACAAGAGACAAACAGAGAATGGACAAGCGGAGGAAACCTCTGGTCTTCTGCATAGATGATAGATGGGTGGCTTCCTTTGACCCAAGCTGGATCAAAAATCGGATGAAGAGGACAACGAATAGAACAAGGACAAGACTATGATAATCCGTTAGCATCAAGGAACATGATCTGCTAAGAATAGATTGACGGCTCCAGTATGCCGATATCAGATGGTAATAGAGAGTGTCAGAGCCAACTTACGCAGACCCTAACTTGATGATGCTGTCACAGACCCTGACAAGCTCGATTTGTAGGGGGGAATCATCAGGATCATCTCGAAGCGACATTTCAATTTTTCCTTGCCCACTGTGTACTCCAACTGACGTGGCAATGAAGGATCCCATACCAGCAACAACTATAGATCCGGATAAAACGAAAGGATCATTGCGGGCAGACAATGCACGTGCTTCAATCTGTGCCATAGCCTCGTCTGCTGGTATTTTCCGCATCAAGTCCGCTTCGCCAGTACAACAAGCCTCGTCAAATGTTGCATGGTGACCAGAGACCAGAATACCGTCAGCGGGAATAATGTCACCGGGCTCAAAAAGCACAATGTCACCCACAAGGACATCGAATTTCGGAATCAACACTGCCTTGCCAGACCGTACGACTCTTGTCTGGGCATCTCGCTGGTAAGAGGTAAGTGAATGTATGGGAAATGCTCTGCATTGTACTAACTCTTTTCAGACACAACTTCGTGTAGTCTCCATCACGTTTCCATTCAATCAGTCCTCCTAGAAATAAATAGACGATGTAAAGTGACAGAAGAATGACGACTTGTTGCCACTCCGTTCCGTATGACTTCAGCTCCACGGAATGATCTGTCAATCGAATCGACAAGTAAACAAAAGACAAGAGAGCCAGAAGATATGCAAAAGCTCGATTCTCAAATCTTCGTATCACACATCGGAATAGGTTTCTACGTCGTCTGGGTGGTACTCGTCCATCGCTAAAAATTCGTATTCTATCCGAAAATGGCCCAGTCGAATAACTGGGGTCAGAGGGTGGATGTGTGGTCCTGTCGTCAGCGGATTCCGGCGAACAGTGCCTCACAGCAATGTTTGCAGTAGCATCCTCGAAAGTGACACGCCCATCTAGTATATGTTCATCTATACTGAGACCGGAATTCCTGTCGGTTCTTAGACCTTTCTCAAGACCTGCCAATCCTCCTAGAGCTACGAAGGCAGCTAGGCTTTTGGGATTGTAGAGCTTGTTCAATTGTCCAGGACTGAACGCGAACTTATTATCCTCCACCTCGAAGTCGGCTTCCTTTCCTGGATCTGGACTCAAAGCTCCCCGGGAATCAATTAAATTGAATGGCGTCCGGGCTTCGCGAGCTTCTTTGGCATCGATCTCGAAGGACGCTCCATCTCTGGCATATCCGCGAGTCGAATTCGCTGGAGTGCTACTTCTTGACTCCCCCGTCCTCTGCTCTCGGCTCGTGTCGTGGCTCGCTCGGGACGACATGTCGAGGGACGAGGCTGGGCCCACGCCGCACAGTCGAGGAACTGCACCATAGATTAGAAAAGAATGCAATACCTCGAGGGAATGGAACGGTATGATCAGAGACACTTACATCAGAGGAACGGGAAGCTAAAACTATTGAAGTGTTTGGTGTCGTGTGAAAGTGCCGTGATAGCTTCTCGACGAGGTGGGGATCCTCGCTTTCTCCATCTCACAATCCCACGCATTGCCGGGGGACGTCCAATCGAACCAGTGGACTGCTCCATATCTGCGGGGCAAAAGACTGTTACGAGCTTGAGAAGGCTGGCAAATAAGAGGCAAGCGCACACCGAGAGATCGTGTGCATCGTCTTTCCAGTTCAGCTTGATTGAAGCCACCGAGTGTGTTGGCAGGATCAAGCTAAGCAGAGGGCGGGATGCCGGACGAATCAGGACCTCATGCGGTTTGTGATTGTGGCTGAAAGGGTCAAATCATCTTGCAATACGGAGGCAAGTTCCATTGCAGGGGTGCTATTACGTCCTCACGAAAACCAGGTGCACTTGGGCAGGCAGACATGAGCCTCATATGAAGCAAAACTCCACTTGTCTAAAAGTTGTATACTTATACAGCTAGCATTGTTTTTTCTATCAAGGCTGTAGCTCATCCCATGCCTAAATGGATCATTCAGTTCACCAGAAAGGCTACCCCTCAGTAGCAGCCCATTTGGCCAGCTCCTCGGAACTTGCGACCTTTCGAAAATTCAGCAATCTGAATATGAGAAACCTCCTTTATATGCAGACAGAGCTGATTATGCTTGAGGCAGAACTCAAAGAACTTGATCAACAGGACGCCTCTGACAAGGCCACATCAGCTGTTCTTCAGTCTTGGGAGGCCGTACTCAGAGGTACAAGCGAAAGGGATGCAACAAGAAAAGAGGTGGCTTTGAGTATGCGAAGAAAGCTTCAAGAATACAGTAATAACGCTCAACCTCATCGATGTTTAGAAAATGCAGCAAGCATGCTGACCATTTTTTAGACGAGGCGCTGGCCGTCCAAAGTCAGATCTTGAGCCTTGAATCCCCTTCCGAACGAGTGCTTGCTGTGCACAAAGAATGGTTGGACAAACATGGTCATCCAGTACATCGTCCGATTATAGACCGTGGTGATGAGTTTCTGGATCAACCATACGATCTTGTTGCACTAGCAGGTGCGGAGCGATCAAGGGACCCTCTCACAAGTTTCTTAATTAACCACTGCGGAGAACTCTTCAAAGTACAATCGTCCTCGAGTTTTTGACGACTTGAAAAGTATTTCTGACAATAATACTGTAGGTGCAAAATGTACAGCCAAGCACGCCAGCAGCCTTGTCGAACATATACTACTACTCCGAGCAGAGCGCCAGCCGCCTGAGTAACTTTATTTCGCTTATGCTGGCAACTCTACTTCTCGTTGGAGGCATCGTCAGCTTGTACTTCGTAAAAGATGAGGGAAGGCGTTTGGGTATGATAGGGGGATACACTGTCCTCTTCGCGACCGGCTTGTTCTTCTGTACAGCAGGAAAGAAGGGCGAGATTTTCGGAGCCACTGCAGCGTAAGTTCATTACCTCTTCCATGGCTGTAAGACTGACAACCTCGTAGATATGCTGCAGTCCTGGTCGTGTACATCAGTGGGAGTTCCAGCTGAAGAAGTCAACAAGGCAGGGGCCCAATTTATATCGGTAGGAGCCAAGAAGGAGGTATCGGTCCCGGTTCAGAGGTTCGAACAAGAACCAAGGCAGGAATCGGAATCTGGTGGCATCTGCGGCTAGAATATGCCACGAGTCAGATAGGAGGTAATGTAAACGAGTTGTCGTATGGAGGACAGCGTTTCAAGATGATCCACTGTGAAAAAGTAGGGCGCGAGACTATGAAGACCCCAAGTCTCCGAGACTTTAAGTTCAGAACAACGTGCCAAAATTTGTCGCTATGTATCATGAACATGCCTATGTAGACCTTGAGCTGTCGTCAAAAGTCATGACTTAACGGCCCCAATGCATGATTGCTCGCTCCTTAGCAATACTTGTATCGAAGAAAATGCCGCAAACGTTATGCGGGTACTTGGAAGGTCAAAACCAAGAATTACTAGTAATGAAGACCCAAAAAAAATTGCCTACTTGCTCAACGACCTGGAATGAATTAGATTTGAAAGAAGATTTTAAGGTATTATCCAAACTTACGTCTGCAGGATTTGAACCTACGCTCCCGAAGGAAACAGATGGATCTAGAATAGACATATCAAGGAGTTCTTGACAGGCCTAAGCCATTCTAGTCTGTCGCTATAACCACTCAGCCAAGACGCCTCTCGTGTCAAGTGATGTCAAACAAACGCTTATCTCATTTCTTCACACGAGTAGCTCTTTCGGCGTTTGTGGGGAAATAATGTAGCAAATGTGGATACAATTCTTACAAGCGAGGTTTGGTGGGGTGCTTGAGCGATGAGAAGACTTGGCCTTTTTGAGCTGGAGAACAATTGAGTTCTTCCACTAGGACTGTCTTCAATCACCTTCTCTTACACTCTGAAATATCGCCTATGATCTATGTTTTCGTCCCTTTCGGATGATTGCGCATTGAATGAATATGCCCCCGAACATTCCAAATCACTTTGTGTCCCCTGAAGCCACAAATTTTGGCGAGCTTTTCTTGGTTTACACACTATTTCCTTGGCCTTCACACATGGTTCTGCTGCCTATACAGATTGAATCCCCTTCTTTTGCTCAGTAGACACAGTGCTATCTTCTATTCTGGTATAAAACAAACGTTGTCCCAAAACTGCTAGCTTCAACCCGATCAATTTCAATTAACTTGTCCTAACGCTTCCCCAATCAGCGCCAGCAAGGAAAGATCCTCCACCTCACTCAACCCCCCCACCCCACTCGAGTCCCAAACTTTCAGAAATACCCATTAGAAGAAGTCATCCTTATAACTATCACCCCCGAGTATGCGCTGACTTTGACCTCTGTTGATTACCACGCGAATTCTCCGTCTTCGGTCTGCCTTTATTAATCGGCTTCAGTTTCTGCCGGCAGGCCGCACATGCTTTTTTCTTGCAGCCTGGACATTGCAGGAGATAGCTATATTCCGCAGAGCATTCCTCGCATGACAGACGTCCCCGAGGAGTGGCAGCGTCAACCTTCGGCCACCAGGCGCCATGGCGGCAGGTACTTGTTCCAGAGCCGCTTTTTGAAGGAGGTGCATGACTGTTTGGGGGTTTGAAGTGCCCACTTGAGGATGAAGCTGTCTTTCCTTGCGCTCCTCCTTGACGACCTTGTTGATTGGCTGAAGATTGCTCGTAATTGCGACAATTCTGTGTTGCCTCCCGCGCCTTCCTTGCCCTATTTTTCCGCTCATCCTCTTCTCTCAGCTCAGTCTGGTACTTCGTCCAATATTCTTCTGCAGCCTTTCTTTGCTTCTCGCGCTCTTCTCTTTCAATCCTGTCCCTCTCCCTTTGCTCTTTCTCTCGTTTCTCCTGTTCTGCCCGCTGAGCCCTCTCCCTCGCAAATCGCTCTTCCTGCATTTTCTCGTGTCTCAGTCGGGCTTGCCTCTGACGCAGTCGCGACTCATATGTAGCAATGTTTCTATCGTCCGTCTCATCCGCCTTCTCAAAGGTTTGGCGTCCATCTTCAAGCTCTTTCTGCCACTTTCTCAACTGCACCATCTTCAAGTCCAGAGCTCTCTCCTTGAAGTTCTTCGTGTGAAGTCTCTGCAGGCGTGCATTTGCCTTGTTTGCCTTATCCTCGTCGCTCTCGAAGGGCTTCTTGTAAAGAGGCGAGAGGATCCATGTGGACCAGCTTTTGGCGGCAGCTTCCTCCGCTTCCTCTGCCTTTCTTATGCTCTCCAGATCCTCAATTGCCTTCTTCAGTCTCGCGACCTCTCTTTGTATCTCGAAAATCGCATTGTCATATCCCTTGGCTGCAAATCTCCATTTCACATCTCGTTCCTGTTTGGTCCTACGCAGCGCTGCGATTGCTGCAAGATCGGATATGTCTTCTTGTGTGGGCTTTTGTGTTGACTGACTGGGCTGCGCGCTTGATCTCGATGAAAAATCGGGCTGGGTTTGGGGCGGGACATGTTCTGTGCCGGGCTGTCTGGACTTGATGCTCGGATAAAGTAAGTCGTAGCTTTGACGCAGTGATGCGTCTTTGAGTGTTTCGTACGCTCTTCCTAGCTTTAGCGGGCATATTTTGTCAGCAATCGACTGGCCAGTGATCTAATCAGATATAGAATATATCGGATTGCTGATTATGATTTTGAATGCATATATCCGTACCAGTTGGAAAGCTTCGGTTGCGTTCGAACGAGGATTTCTGTCGGGATGGAGTACAAGTGCTAATCTCCTGTAGGACTTCGTGATTACTTCTAAAGTGGCTGTTTGTTGAACTTCAAGGAGAAAGTAATAGTCATCTGTGATCTTGACCGGAGCCATGTTTCCCGTATACTTTCATGGAAAAACCAATTTTTATAAACGCATTGACTTTATCGTTTGCTTCGTGTTGGAACCTCGTCTCGATACTGCATCCGTTTGCTGTCATTGCATGCCAAGGTCACACAACGCTCCCCGTGACTTCGAGGAATGGTCTGAGTCGAAAGGCGAGGACCAATTATAGACTTCCAGACGTATTGACAAGAACTTCACCTGTCGCTTTGATTGGAAATCGACACTCAATTAAATACCGCTTTGAAGCGTTGATCCACAGTATCGAACTGATCGCAGCCATTAAGCTTATTTACATCGATGCCGGGCGGGTGTGTTCCATCGTATCATCAGATTGCCCCCATTACAGTACAGAAAATCTTCAAGATCGAGGTCGAACTCCCCGTTACCACAGCTGTCACAGATCTTAATGTTCCGAAGACGTGCCCAGAGGAATGGCTCCTTCGTCCATAAATGGCACCAACGCTACTGGCCGTCCAATATCAACAACCATTTGACTGTCTCCATCCTGGACCGCGCCAAAACCGTCGGCTTCACAGGGCCCTTCATTACAATTGACACATATGCTATGGGCTGGTTACATAACGATAGGGGATAACAGATACAATCCAGTCCATGTCGCCGCTCAAGTTGGGGGAGTAGAGCCGAGTCTTATGGATCTGTTTTTCCAGCAGCAGTTCCGTGGCGAACATGGCATCGAAATCACGGATGATGCTAGGCCAGCGGCAAAAGAATGAGTCAGCATTCACTCGCTCAGAACATCCCATACTTGAGCGGACTTTAATCGTCGAGATATCACTAGGACGGTCTAATTGTGCTCAACCTAGTTCAGAGTGTGGCGGCTGCGAAGAAGGCGGTATAGTTTGGGATGCAAGGGATTGTGGTTTCAAATCATGGTGGAAGGCAGCAAGATGGCGTTCCAGGGACACTCGACAGTTTGCCAGAAACTGTTGACTCGTTCGGAGATAAACTGGATTTACTGTTAATTCTGGCGTGCGATCAGGAATAGACATAGCCAAGGCGCTGGCGTTGGGGCAAAATGTTTGCTTCTGTGGAGTCTATACATTTGGGGATAGGCCACTGATGGCAAGAAAGAATTTGGCAATGTTCCCAAAGCTCTTCTGGGAGAGTTTCACATGACTCTTGCTTAGAGGGGCATCCTTTCTGTGGCTGCTGATGAGCTCAACCGAGATCGACTTCTTTTCAGTCCTTGAAAGAAGATGAGGTCTTTACTTTCTGTACGGTATAGAAACACATCCAGACAATAAAGCAAATCCTGGATGTAATATTTCAATCTGGAGATCATTCGAAGATCAATACAAAGAAACGTCATGGAAAGGGATTTTGTTACCAGTACAAGAAAAAGAGGATCAAGGACACCATATTTCACGTGACTCTGAGGGAGAACACACGGCCTGAAGGGGTCTTGCAAGCACCCATCAAGGGATGCATATATACATTGTTGAGAGAAATCAGTAAAAAAGAATTGAAAGTGAATTTTGACAGTGATACAGTCACTGCTGAATGATTAGCTGCTTCACAAGTTTAGCTTGAAATTCGATGGCGTCGACTTCCAGTGATATGACTCACCAGAGCGGAGCATTTTTCAAACCCTTGTATCTACGCAAATAAGAACTAATCAGCCAATCAAATAAGCTCACATAGCTCAGTGGTAGAGCGGAGGATTGCAGTTCAAACACTTCTCCTCAGGTCATCTGTTCGATCCAGGTTGGGAGCTTAAACTTCTTTTTTGCTCTTTCTCAATCTTTCTCTCCTTTCTTTTTTCTTTCATCTTTCTTTGCTCTTCATTCAACGAATAAATTCTTATTACCGACGATTCGAGGTCCACAGGGTTCGTGTGGCCAATTTCGTTTTGCTTTGTTGGATCCACCCTTGCATTAGGGCTCAGTAGCTTAAGCGAGCGACGTAAGGGGGCTCGCTAAGCCGCTCCGTTGTCAACAAAGCTTGAAGTAGTCTTAGCGCGATCTCCTGAGTTGGACACTGTGCTCTGAGTCCAGAAAACTTATCAAGGTCCTGGACTGTTCAATGCGCTATTGTCTTGGGAGAGAAAGATTCTAGTCACATCTCAGTCGCGGCATTGCCAAGAATGCGGGATTCCTAGAAGTTTTGATGCACGTGAGGAAAGCTTTCCTTATGTTAATCCCTATTGTAGAATAAAATACACAATCTGAGAATCGGTACGAATCTATCTCCCTCCGTACCAGTCACTGCCAATGTCACCCCAGATCTCTATTTCTCTGCTCAGCTTTGGCATTTCCGTTCTTCTTGCTTGGTTTTTCGCTCTAAAAAATATTTGAAGATCTCGTCTCGGCTTTCGTTTATCTCCCTTTCGCCTGCTACAAGTTAGGACAGCTCGACGAATGTTGGATGGGATCAGAGTGGAGTTATCACCGCTTACAGAAAGTTGTAAATGCGAGTTCCATCTCTTTCAATGCATTTGTCAATGCCCAATCATTTTCGCTCGAATCGTTGACCCAATCAAAGCGCCCGAAAGATGATGTTTTGTCGCACAGTGTGCCGTACGTCGTTGCGACCATGCGATACATGAATCTGACTTTCTCGAGTCTTGCCGCGAAAATTACTGGTAATTGTCAACAAAAAGGAAAGGTTCAAGGATTGAAACTGTTTACCTCGAGACTTGACCGGAATCTCCACACTTCTCTCACACAGCAAGACGTCGTTCCGGTACACAAGCATCAACCTCAGCAAGCACGTTTGTGCTACCACCATGCTATTTTTGTCGAGGCTGAGGAGACGATGGAGGTCATTGAATTTAGTAAGAACGAACTTTTCTGCCTCAGATATGCCTGTTAGTGCGATTGCTCTGATGTGTTGGTTCAGAACTGGATCTGCATATGAATATTCTTGGGGGGCGTTATCTGCAGGTGCAACGTGAGAGAAGACTAGCGAGTGCATGAGAAAGCTTCTCAAGTTCACGATCCTCAAAGCAGCTGCCACAAGATCCATCTGGATAATGCTTAGTAGAATTTTAGAAGTTCAACTGATATCTTACCATTGAATGCTGTAGAAGTCTCCCAGCGAATAAAAGCAACACGTGATCAATCTTGTCATGTAATTCGTGTGTCAAGAAAGGATCATGTACTTTTCCTACACCTGCTCGAGACATGCTTTCTAGTTGCTCGATGCCAGGTATGGCTGCAGGGAGGAGAGCTCGTTGATCCGCTGAGGGCGCATGCCATGACACTGGTCTTGTGTAGGATCCTGAGAGTCCTGACCCAGGATAGATGCGCTCGTACTTCGTAACAGTAAGGGTGAGCGGTAGAGAGGAGTCAATCATATCGTCCATCTTGAACGTGATATTCTCAGTGGTATGTGGTACAAATCTGATAGCAGCGCGATTTCTCTCTTGAGACTTGACGATCATCTCGTAGATGCCTGGCAGAGTCAGTCTATGAACGCGAAATGTTGCAAGATGAATTTTGTACTGCTATGGGAGAGAAACACATCAAGAAGCTTCTGTCTCAAACAAATGTGGCCAGCTAGCTTGGGGTCTTTGGTCATGACCTGGCATCTGGTGCACGTTTCTTGTGTGGAACACTGGGCACGTCAGCGGAGTTCAAACATGCCCCAGAAGCGCAGACTTACAGCAGTCTTTCGTACTTGACACTGCCAACAGGCCCTTTTGTTCCGCACTTGGCTTACTTTCTTGCGCTGTTCAGCGTTATAAGCCTTTTTGCCACGCTTCGCGTTTTTCGTTGGTGGTTGGCTCTCAAAAGCAGTCATCAAATGTTCTGTTGATGGTAATGTGCGTTGGGATCCTAGGAAATCTGATGTAACTCTTATTCTTCATCATAGGCATGGTTCTGCTCAGCGGTGAATCGGTATGGGTGTTCAATGTAGCCATCGTTGTTGATCCTGATCCTGATGGTGGGGTTGTCCTGGACTGAGCCAGCTACTATCGACATCTTCAATTGTTGGGAAGACATAGTTGCTTGGCATTTCCGATTTTGAATTTTGATCAAATACACGCATCTCATTTTCCGATGATGCATTGCTGGTCGTCGGCGTCAGAATTCTTGGGCTGGCTTCGTTCCGACCCAAGGCTTGAAGAGTTGCTTCGTCCAATGTGGAAATCGCAAAGAAAGGAGGGACGGTCGAGTTGCTTGGATCCTCGTGGAACTCGGGGGTCCATAGAAACGGCGAAAACTCGGAGTCGAGCTCAAGTTCTGAAGCTGGGAATCGAAGAAGAGGAAACAAGGCTTCATTAGTAGCTGGTTGCTCGATTATTTTGCTCTGATTGACCGGAGAGTTTTGCTCGTGTCCAACCATGAATTGATTCCAACATGAAGAAAAATCTCCAGCTCCCCCTTGAATACTCGTTGGATCCTCATGGTCGTCTTGATTCCAGATGTCGTCGAAGTCATTTACATCTCCTGAGGGTCCGCAATGAGGAGTGAGATGAGCAAAATCCTCCTGGCTCAGAAACAAGTCGTCAAAGAAGTCGTAATCCATCTTCCCGGTAACTTGAACCGGCAAGATCGAAAAGCACAGGAATATGCCTCGGTTTTAAGGGAAGTTTGGAGAAGTTGCTCGCTGAATGGAACATTCGAGTTGCGGACTTCATCGCTTTATGATCAACTTCAAACAAAAGTGCATCAACTTGACTTGGTTATGATTGGCTCGCTTCCAATTTCGGTGTGCCCAAAGGAGACGGAAAACGCCACACGGCTGGCCTCGGTCAAGCTCGGTGAAGGTATCTCCAATCAGAGCCATATGACCATCTCATTCGCCAGACACGAATGCTGTGTCACAGCTAGAGATATATAAGTGTGAAGGGTCTTTGCTGGAATTCTTGAGCTTTCAGGCTGTGGTTGCTTAATTTCAGGGTATCTGAGGCTTGTATTCCGTTAGATTGGATCATCTTCAACGCCCGTCGCTTGAGATGTTTACAACTGAGAAGGAGTTCATATTGGAGCAAACCCTTACATCGCAGACAGCAAATCAGTCCCAGCCGATACATATTCAACTTAGAAATTCTTGTATTTTATGGGTCCGAGTTAACGGCCTGATTCATGCCCTTTTTCAAGCGCGTAGAAAGCGAATGCGCATCCCGCTCAGTCCGAAGTCAGAAGCACCCGACAGAGCGATTCCAGGTATTGACGTATCAATACATTGTTTCATGAACTGGAGGACTTCCAATTATCCACCTAGAACATCTCAGCATTGGCTCCCTGGCGATTGCGAAACTCGGAGAAGGGAATGTGATTATTATGTGAATGCCGAGACTATCCTATGGCAGTGAAAGCCCTGAAGGTAAAGCAGACTAGAGGTGGAACAGTCGCCGCAACTACTGTCCCCCATCTCCAGGTCTAAATACTTGTTGCCCTATAAGTATTGTCGGCTGCAGGCACACGATGGCAAGAAACAATGACGACACGGTTCGTGGGCTGTCAAAACGATAGACTTTCGGCGCCAAGTCCAAAGAAAGATATCAGTGGAGGAACCTCGTTTCTACAATCCAATTGCATTGTAGAGATCACAGAAGACTCCTTATACTTCGAAGAACACCAGGCTCCCTAATTCCTGCTCATATAGTATTCTGTTGCCATTTCTCATTCGGATGTCAATCTACCTCATTTTATCATCATCATTCCCCCTTCACTCACAATATATTACAACATCCTGCCAAATACTGTACCTGTGGATTATATTCACGCTGTTTGTTATTGGATACCATTTTTTCTTGTGCCATTTCCCGTTATTGGTAGTTCTCAGGAAATCACCGCCAACACGCACGTTCCCACCCGTTCAAATCTTCCTCATTGATCGTACTGTGCTTAGAGAGCTTATACCTTGAACATCGCCCTTAATATACCCTTCGATATCCTCTGACTCTAGATCTGGCCAATTCAAGCTTTGCATCACTGCTTGAGAGGATGGAGATGGTTGTGAATTTGCTCTCTTACACCTCAAAATATGTATGCTAAGTAAACAAAACTATCAACAGCACACTGATTACAAAACATCGTGCTAATTCCCCTGGTACTTCACTTGAACGGCTTCTTTCTAAATAATCTTTACTTGCACGCCCTGGAGCTACAACACCGCATTACCTATAAATCTACCCAATGCCAAGGGAAACACAAAGTACGGAAACCCCATTCAATACCAAAAAAGATCATGGGATCGAGAAGCAGTCATAGAAGCAATGACGCAAGTCAGAGACTACACGCTCTTCAAAACAATCAGTTCCTAAATTTCACCTCTTTCACGAACTCATGATGACTTCACGGTATCATCCCCACGACCAAAACTTCACTCGCTCGAGTAGGCGAACTATTGTCAATATCCACTCTGCTGTAATTCGCAGCTCTATCATTATACCTCATACACTACCATGGCCAGATGTACAAATGACGCGAAGTAAACTTACGCGACATCAGCCAATATTTCAACTCAAACCATACATGTAGAGTACTCTCTTCACAAAAATCACCCTGCTCCCGGGCCGAAGGACCACTCCACTAGAATAATTCTGTAATCAGTAGGTTGTACTGCTGCTGATCTCGTCTCGACTTTAATACTTGAGAGAATATATATACACCTCTCTGAGTTCGACACAAAGCAGTCACCAAGTCCAACCTCAAGCTCCACCATTCACCGTTTCCAACTCATCCTCAAATTCTCTTCCTCGCAACCCCCTACCTACCCCTCCTGCCGCAATAATCATTCTCATTCTCAACGATCATTCACAAT